GAAAGAGTCGCTTCAATATCAGCAACATTGAGCTTCCACAAGGAATCAATCATCACTTTCTTATGGGATTGCAGGTATTCCTCAAGTTCCTCTTCTGTATAATTTCCTTGAGCACTGAGCTGCCTTTTCATTTCCTCCTGCAGCTGGAACAAAGCGTATGCACCTAGGATGACAGAGAATAAATTACTAACCATATTTTCCATTTCTCCCAAGAGAGAGAAAGCTTTTACTTAGGTATCTTTGCTTCCGCAGTTGATCTAAATGTTCCTTAAGGAGGTAAACTAAACATGATTTCCACAAAGCGAATACCAACCAGTTGCTGCTGTTACTTGGGATTTGATGAAGTGACCTTTCTTCCTGAACCATTCAGCAAGGAATGGTACCATGAGAAGATAAGCTTTCTTCCCAAGCTCTATTGCTGCTGTTCGTACGTATATATACCCAATTGTGTTCAACATATCCACACCATATGCTGTAGAATATAGATCAGGAAATATGTGAGACTACTTCGGCACAATCGAAGCAGTGGTCAACAGAGGAGAAAGCATAAACTATGGGAAAAAGGAAGAAAAAAAAATCTCTACAGGAACATATTATTACCTGCGTTTGAAAGCCTGGATACTTCAGCTTCAGCATGACTAACAAACTCGTCTTTGTTTCCTTGTACATATTGGTTAAGGCGATCCTTAAGAATCTGAGCAAGTTTCTCTTCTCTTTCCTTCTGGACAGCCTGAAGCCAAAAGCAATCCACATGCTTAGGAAGGTTTGCACCAAACAGAAATGAACCTTACATGCAGTTTACATGTAGAGGCATGTCTAATATCCCTTCTTAATTCTTATAAAGCCAAACAGCTGATGTTGCAATAGGAGTTTACTCAATTGAATGTGATAAGAGTTAATGAAACCCAGTTATGTTTTTCTCCTGTTTGATGGTTACTACACAAGGCAAGCTGGTCCTAGGACTGACACTATCCAATGCAAGGATCGGCTTTGGTCTGTTAGTGCTCATTTCAATCCAAATTTTAGATAATGGCTGCGAGATTCGTAACCCAATGAACCAGAATAAGAACCTAACCAACCACATTGATATTCACCATATTCATTCATGTGGCTGGGGAAAAAGAAAGGCCTCAGGCATGAGCTAACTACCGGTTCAAGATGTGAGATCCAAATGAAAAGAAAACATAAAAGCTTCGTTTGATCAGGAGACAATAAGAAATACAAAGCTTACCCTCATTTTTTCTTGCAGCTTTCTGGTATCGAGCTGCTCCCCTTCAGTGAAGATGTCAAGTGAAGCCATTGATGCCATTGCAAGCTGCCCTATGTATTCTTCAAAAAGTTCACTACCGAAAAGCATCGCAAATATTGCCGCAGGATCAATGATAGCATCACTGCAAGAATGAAAATAAGAAGTAAGCTCTAAGGGAGAAAAACAGTGAAATTTCTGCAGCAACTTGACAAAGACCCATGTAAATAAACTCGAAATGGTGCAAACAGCCTGTACACCTTTGAACTTCATCTTAGAAGAGAATAAAAGAAAGAAACTAACGTCGAGATCCCCGATTTCCCATGTGCATCATAAGCTTGACGTTGTGCTGGATCACTTAGCACTTGGTAGGCCTCTCCTAAATCCTATATCATAATTTACTTTTCAAAAAATTCATCCAGAAGGGGAGACCATCATAATAAATAAGTAGGTTAAGAAAAAAAAAAAGACAAAACGATGTGGCAATCAAGGATATTCGTACAGTGCGTTGATCTCCTGAAAGCCTGAACTTCTCCAGACTTAATGCAATTTACTCTTGCAATGCTTTTTAATGCACGCACGGTAATAGCCACTAATGCAGGTTTGAAGGAAAAACATGTACATCGGCAATCCTTCTTGAATTACTAAACCATGAGTTTATCCTACAATGTGACTTTTCATCAACACTGTAAATGTGCTCACCCAATAAGGAAGGAGATGAAATTATGAAGGTAATAGGAACAAAGAAACATTGGTAAAGCATATTAGCACTTGTAGACTACAATCACTATGCTATAACTCACAATACCATAGACCAAAAAGGTACTAAGGACTTTGAATCTCTCTGAAGATACGAAAAACGATATATACTCTAATGAATGACATACACTAAACAAGAAGAAAATTTGCCCAAGTAGAAATCCAACAACACGGTTAGAACTCTTTTGATCTTTTCGTAAGCTAAAAATCTGAACTTGCCTGGAAATTATGTGCCGCCTGAGGATCATTAGGGTTTTTGTCTGGATGTACTTGGCGCGCCTGCAGACAACAATACAAGCCGACAATCAAGACTATGAAAATGGCGAATCAATCAATGTTCTCATCTGTGCTACTCAATTGCAGAACTTAACCTAGCTATGGACTTTCCTTTTATCATCAGACTAAACCATCGTGAAATCATGCGAGTTCTGAGCAAAGGGAAATTGCACAAACTCCGGAGATTAATCACAGCTCATGAGTACTCGAATGGTCCCGACAACTAAAAACATCCGAATTCGAAAATCGGACAAAATCACCGAATCCAAACAGCATGAACCCAGGTCCGTTAACCGATCTAGTGCCAACAAAACCAACCCGAAAGCAGAACCCTAGAATCATAGATTCGATTCTCGAAAACACAAAACAAAAAACAAATTACAACCTTGATGTAATAAGCTTTCTTGATCTCGGCCTCTGTAGCATTGGGGCTGACGCCAAGCACGTCGTAGTACTCAGTCTCCTTCACCATTTTTCTTCCTCCAGCCAATCTCGCTCGAAACTCGCCGCCGCTCCGTCCGATCCTCCGACCACCGGAGAACGACAACAACGAGACAAAGCTCACCGGAGAATCTCTCTTGTAGTATGACAGTCCACGCGCCTACCGGAGGCTTCACCACAATCGCTGCTTCTTTTTCTTCTGCTCTCCTCTTTTTTTTTTTCAAATTAGAAAGTCTTTTATTTTTTGCCTGAAGAAAATAAAAAAAATGGAAAAAACGTAATAACATTTATTTGAATTGGAATGACAATTAAATGTTTTATTCCACGCGTTTTTTCGTCAGCATCTCCTTGGATTTTTCCTTTTCCTTTAATTAATATTAATTCGTAACAAATCCTTATCTTCGAGATTAAGTACACAATATATATCGTGTCATAATTAAATATATTTTTTTTTTTGTAAAACAACACAAAACCCATAATTTTCTAAAATTTATGATTAAAATTTTAGTTTTTTTAGATAAGTAAGGTCTCAATAGTATGCTTTTAAAGTAAATAAATAATAATGATTCATGTCGATTTCAACTCTCGTGGACATTTTTGGTTTAAATTTCTTTGAAAGACATTATATTTTTTGCCACTTTTTGGGAATTGGCCAAAATGGCATGAATTGTGTTTTAATCCAATGAGATTCTTCTACTTCCACCACAAATTTAATTCTTTTTTAACATTAATGTTTTGTTAACATTAAATTTAAATCTGCCAAACATCGAGATTCTTTATGATATAATCTATAATGAAAATTTTATGTTTTATTTTATATATTTTCTATCAGTTTATTCACAAAATTATTTTTCACTGAAAACATTCTAAGAAAATTTTCATTCATCAAATTTACTTTTATATGAATTTTTTTAATTACATATATATACGTATTTTTGGGCACCAAACTGTAGTTTTCAATTCAATTTTTCTATCCTTTTTAAATCATATTTTAGTTGTGTTGTGTGTTTTAGAAATCACATTTATCATAAACAAATTTTCTATTAGTAGTCAGCACCCCAAGAAACAAAAACAAAACAATAATTGAATATAGAGTAATAAATTAACGTCAAACCTCAATTTGATGAAGAGACAACCACTTGAAAAAATCCATGTTATTACATCGTTAGTATTACCAGGAATCAAGCTTCCAATAGCTTCATCTCCTGATCATCCTTTGTTCCTCCCTCCTCCTCCTCCTCCTCCTTGTTGCTGTTGTCAGGTGGTGGCTTTAAAGGGGGAGAGAAAGAGAGGGTTTTGATGAGGCAAGAGTAGAGATCGAACTCAGCCTTCAGCTTCAGACAGCTTGCTTCTATCCACTTCTCCGCCACGCTTGTCGCCACGCAATCCTGCCTGTCTCCCTCGTGCTCCTCGATGGCGGGTCTGATTTCGTCGTACAAGGCAGAAAGCCTCGCCACTGCTTCCTCCTTCGCAGCCTGCAACAACAACAACTCCCCGTCAGTTTTCTGATCATGTAAAGACCAAAAGGAAATCTTATGGTTAACTTTGATGCTGCTGAGGGATGGGCACGCGTCGGGTATCCGAAAAATTCAACGGTACTCGAACCCGTATCCGAAGGATTGTGATACCCATATGAGTCCTCGAAGATCTCGGGTGCTTGAACTCGAAAATTTTACTAAAAAAAAATATAACTGTAACAAAAAAAAGATATCTGATACTATAATAATGGGTTGGAGCATCCGAAAAAATTAGATATCTAAACTTGAACCCAAAGACAAAAGACAAAACGGTAAATACTAAAAATTGACAGGGGTATAAATATCATTTGTCGGTGTACACCGGTACCCGAATTTTGGATATTTATGCCCATCTCTATAAATTGGTATCGCGTTTTCAGACCGGAAAACTGAAATAACTGTTTTTGCTTTTAGCAGAAATCGTATGTGATGATGTCCGAAATGTATTTGACATAACCTTTTCGGAACATGCAAAGATGGAAACTTCTGATCGGTTCCCGAACCTTAAATTTTTCCCTAGTCTGGTTTCCTATCCATGCATAGACCAAGACGAACGTAAAGAAGAAAAAAAAAAACACAACTCATACCTCATGTTTGAGGATTTCGTCTCGAGCTTCTTCGCTTTCTAGGAGCTGAGCCACTCGCTTCACGTCCACCTGCTTCTGAGCGACGGTTTTCGTCTTCCCTCCCGTGAACTGCTTCTTATCTTTCTTCTTCTGAATCGGCCTTGATTTGATTTGATAATTCCGGCATATACTGTTACTCTTGATCCGAGATATCATCATCCCGTTCTTCTTCGAGAAAGCTTGCCGGGCATTCTGCGAGAGCAGTTTCATCTCTTCAGTGGGTTCGTCTTTCGCTGTTTCCATGACGACAACGTCTTCCATAGGAGTTGAATCTGAAGGATTCACCGCAACAGCTGTAGACGACTCCAAATGGTTCTCGGGTTTCACAGTAGCATTCACTACAGAGGTTTCCTTCTCTACATTCGGGTAGGATTCGTAATCCGAGTGGCCAATGACCTTAGAAAGCTTAGATGTCGGCTCGTCTTCTGCGGAATCGTAGACCGGAATCTTATCTACGGAATACCTTTGAAGAAACAAAAAGAAACAAGATTAGCATCTAACAGTTCATCCACGATATTGACACCATGAAACCAAACTCTATAAATAAGTGAAAGAAAGTTACCGATCATCGCCATCTTCCCATACGTATGTATCCTCCTGCAATAAACCCAAGTGACAGAAGAAGATATCATAACAGCTATTCCGAGCGTAAGAACAATACCTAACCAAGTCTGTAGAGAAAGTTTGGTTTCAACTTTTCCAAACAAGCACAATACCTAACTATGAGTAAATATTCTGTGGTCGGTAACCATAAAACACACAAATAATATGATATATCGTCATGAAATACCGGGTAAATCCCGCAGGTTCTTGACTGCCCAATACGATTTCATATCTACTGACGAATAATATTAAAAATGTCTTACCTGAAAGCCACGAGACTTGGCTCCAAGAAATCCAGAACAACTGATTGCACCGCAGAGACAACGGACTTTTGCACCGCCATACCACTCGAAGTTGTAATCATATGCCAATTCTGTTCCCCGGGAGATGCTCTCCCTCGCGAAAATCCCGACCCTAATCTCTCCCAGAACAGTCCACTTCCTCGTTTCACAGTTTGGTCTACTGCATGGGTTAAGAAGCAAGGACGTTCTCTTCAATGCCGAGTTCAAGTAAAAGCAAATAAGTTTTTCCGGTTATTGATCCTTTGCACAGGTTCTTACCACGAATGATTAATAAACCTAGCAAGGCTCCCCTTCTTAGTAGCATCAATAGCCTCGGAGGCATTGAGAGATATTATGTATGCATCTTTCAGACCTGCCCATGTACATGAAATTTTATAAGAAATCCGGAAAAATACAGAACAAACATCATCTGTGTCAAGTTTATAACTCGCCTTGACCCTCGTAAGCTTGAGCCCTACGTTTTGCTTCCTTCCAAGATATCACTTCACCAGAATACTCTATAATGAACTGTCCTGCCTGAATTGGGACAGCATATGTGTAATTCAAATCCAATTCTAGATCATCGTCGAGTAATTTTCATACAAGTGCAAGATATATTCACTGTGGATGGACAATTTCATTGGACTATCAATGATAAGAAACAGCAATTAAGCATGAAATACCTCACCTTTATATCTTCAACTGCCACTAGACCCCACCCACGGCCTTCGGTCTTGACCAACTTCGTTTTGGCGTATTCACATTTTTGGAATTTCTGTTACCACCATTACATATGAAGCACTGAGTAATGAACATTGAAGAGAGGGGGGAGGGGGTAATACATTTTTATCTCATTTAACTTAAAGCAGAAAACTCTATAAACACCACCCAAGCTTCATGAGATAACATTTAAGAAATAAATCATCATTTTCTTCTACAAACCAGACATGAGGCTTATCTCTTCAGACAGATTCAGATGATAGGAAACCTCAACTCTTGAACGGTAGTAACCCGATATACAATATATTTGTGAACTAAAGGCTTGAAGCCTTGAACAAAATTAAACTAAGAACCATCCATCCAAGCAAAGAACCATTATCTACCTGATTCTTGCAATAAACGCCACATGGGCAGTATCCAGGTGTGCATTCCGTGCTTGTCAACACATTCAAGCATCTCTCGCCACATGCACTGTCGGGGTCACCGAAATCAAACTTGCATTCACAGATAGCAATATCTTCTTCCTTCTGTTTCTTGTGCCTAAAAACAGAAATACACACACTAATTATGCTATACCATAATCAAACTCGAAATGTGTATATCAATGGGAACTACCCCACCATCAAATTTGGATGGTACAAACAAAAGACCCGGGAATGGTTTCTTACTTCCGATACAAGAAGTCGTTTTGGTAGATGTGTTCGTATTGTGGCAGGTCGTCGCCTTCTTGATCCTTCAACACAAACATAGGAGTGATACATACATAAAGCTACAAACTCATGAGAACCAATTCATATAGCTGACGAGCGAAAAAGCTTATTGCTTTAACAAGGGCAATTATTCCCTTTAGGTTTTTTCTTCATCAAACAAAGACAAATCTTCACTTTCATGTATAGCCAACATCAATGATAACGTTATATCAAAAGACTAACTCACAGGATCACAGGTATACTGCATTTTATCAGTTCTTCAAATGGAAGTTGATCCCAGTTCGGAGCTCTCCGTTTCGATACGAATTTCTCTAGAATTTTCCTGCGCCATCAAAATCAACAAGAAATGCATAACGTTTCATAATCTAGATTGAAAAAGTTAACGAATCCTAGGATTCGTCCGACCCAGAAGAACCAAGAAGGTGATAACTTAAGATTCGTGAAAAGGGATGAAACCCGAATTCGGAAAACCCTAGGATTCTTCAGAACCAGGAGCTCGAAGGACAAGCGAAAACATGAAGATTCTTCCGACATGGAAGCATTCCGGTAAGTACCTATTTCCGGCAGGCGGCGAATCTCCGGCAACTCGCTTCTCCTCTTCACAAGATCAAGGACGACGGAGAACTCAAAAGACGACGCCGTTTCAATCAACCTGTCTCCGGCGTAGACTTCCTGCGTATTGATTAAAAAAAAAAGCGGTATTTTTTTTTATCTTTTTCGTACAGATTTTTATTTTTGTGTCATGACCCCTATATTTATATACAATTTATACATTTGACCCAAAAGATTCTACATGCATTTGAAATAACCCAAAAGATTAGGGGTGCCATTCAATTTCAATTCTTTCACTTTTAGAAAATCTGTATCCAGACTCCAGTAGAATTTAGTTCTCCACAAAACTCTTGTCCCTCTTAAGACCAATACAACTCAAGAACACATACACATGAGTGTTTTTGTCAAAAAAAAAAAAAAAAACACTGAACAAAACAACCTTTTTAACCTGTAAGAGTAACATTCTGCATTCCGACAACTACTTCATCATCACTTCCTTTCTCAAGCTCATCTTCCATGCGTTTAATCAAACTCCTTAACCGTCGGCAAGCTCCGGAAAATCCCTCTGAAGGTGGATCGGATTTGAACCAAATATAATTGAACTAAACCGAATAGTTATAGTTTTTTTAAAACCGAAATAACCAAACCCGGATAAAATCCGGACCAAAATCATAATAAACTACCCCTAATAAGATTTATACCTTCGTTCGATCATATTTTTGCATGCATGCGAGACATTTATACGTAAGGTGGTGAACATGAATATTTCCAAATATTAAATAATATCCGGAAATTGCTTCGAATAACTTATTAGACGAACGAATCCAACATATTCAAATAGGTCATATCATATATTATTTTTTTTTATTTAACCGTTGCTTCAAATAAAAATTTTCCCACAAGGGTTAACAAAAAAAAAATCCCACAAGATTTATCGGGGTTTGGCCAAAGCCTGCGTTTCGTATTGTAGCAAATTGTCGTTTTGGGCTTTTAAACATTGAGAGCTACAAAACGTGGAAATAAGGCTGTGTGATATTCGCTCGTGCAAATTGTTTAATTTCGAATTTACTCATAATATGGCATTCCCTTTCATCGAGTTCGTCTCCTGTGGAGGGTAAACACATGCTCCAAGCTCGTCGATCTCTACTCCTATTCCTTGGCATAGCTTCAGTATCTTCTCGAGCGAATCCACGAATTGGCTGTTGTCCTTTGGATGTTCTAGTTTGATCATTCCCATGATTGTGCGGATGAGTTCTTTGATCGTCACGAGGGTTTCAGACACGACATCAGCTGTTACTTTCGCTACTTTCATTTCTTCTGGAGATAACCCATCACCTATATCTCCATCATCAATAATATCATCATCATCATCTGGGTTATTGGCATCTGGAGACACATCATCATCATCATCATCATCACGGGCTGGCTTCAGTTCATTCATCTCCCGAAGAACATCCTTCACGGAAGCAGCAACCTGTGTCATTGCACGGCCAATGGCCATGATGTTTGTTGAGGGAGCCTTCTTGAGAGCGGCACATGCTTCCCACACTGCACCTGCCAGCTGTGGAACAGAAGGCTTCCTGTCTTTTTCATACGATCCATCTGTTTCCAATACAACGAAGACGATCATCAAAACATGAAGGCGATCATATGAAGGCGATCATCAAAACATTATCAGGCAAATCCAGTTCTTTTCCTATCAGGTATAGACAACCACCACGGTGCATTTTAAATTTAACTTCCAGTCAAAGAACTGATGGAGTGGGGGCAAAGTTAGAAGTTCTGTTCTTATCAACTAAAGAAACTCAATGCCATGCATATTAATACCCTTAGCAACAAGCTAGTCAAAGAACGGACGAAACAAACATGTCTCACGAAAGTAAGAGCAAAGGTAAAATAGGGTAAGATTTCAAGGTTGAAATGAATATCAAGGATGAAAGGCGAAGGGAAAACCCTCTTACCGTATAGTGAGACAGAACCCTGCAGCAATCTGAAGCTGGTATCAACAATTTGCTTCACAGACGAGTGTATGTTTGAAGAAAGCGTAGGCCCAGCTCCCACTGTGCTTCCATGGCAATGCAGCAGAAAGCCCTGTAGGGCATTGAAGTATGACTCCATGGCCTCCTTAACTGCTGCAGCTTTTGGAGGTTCCCCGCTCCATAGCATTCCGACTGGAGAGTAAGAGACAAACATGAGACTTGAGAAGAGACACCGAATAATCAGACAGAAAACAGAAGACATGTTTTCCCGAGAATGCTACAACGTGGAAGCTCGTCACATTTGTCGGTAACTAATTAACAAGAACAGGAAATACCTACCGATTGTAGCTTGTTTAGAAAGATGGTCAGATAACTGAAGGACATCTTTCCAGGTGACTTTGTCCTGTGTCGGGGGTGGTGTACGATCGAACAGCTGCAAATCCACCATACATATCTCCTAAATATGCATCTAATTCATCTCAAAACCAAATAGAGCTCCACAAAAAAAAACCTGAAGAGTGTCATGGATGGTGTTGAGATGACCAATCAAGATCTGATTCAGGTCCTCTTTCTTTGATTTCCCCATTTCCCTCTGTTTTAACTCAACCTCCAACCTTTTTAATCTATACACTTCTCAGAAAACGTCTGTTGCATGAAGGACGGTTGATCAAACAACGCCCGTTTTCTTCTCTGCCTGCTAATAACCATTTTCCACAACAAAAGGAAAACATCCCTTGTAATTTGCATTCAATCCACGAAACCGCTACAATTCCAAATCCTGAAACTCATATTTATGAATCATCTAACCACAGAACTCGATTCCAAGCTAATAGCATAAGATGATAAGTGATGCAAAAACTCGATTCCAATCCGGTTATTCTTCATCGACGGACGACATTGAAATTTCATCCAATACCCAACACTAGTGATAACATAACTCACCAGATCACAAGGAGACTGAATTTATCAGTTCTGCAGATGCGAGTTAAATTTGACTTAAGAGCTTTCTGCTTCGATGCGATTCTCCAGAACCTCGCTGCGCCATCAAAATCGACAAGAGATGCGAAAGTTTGTTAATTCAGATCGGAAAGAATCGATAATCTTAGGCAAACATATGCTCATACATTACCTCGGATCAAAGAGAGACCTAGAAGATGATAACTTCAGACTCGTGATTCTTGTGAAAAAGCATAAAAACCCCAAAATCGCAAAACCCTAGGATTTTTTCCGGGACTGGATGGATGGAGGAGACTTGAAGAACCCAGAAGACGACGCCGTTTCGATCGACGTGGCACACTCACAGAGCGCGTGGTTTAGGCGTCTCTCATCTTTAAATCTTACGGACACAAGAGCGAGTAATAAGGAAGGCGCGTGCTTTTTAGGTTTCATAGTTTCCCATTTTGTGTAAGAGCGGAAAACTGGAATTTTCAAATTTGAAACCTTTTGCCCCTTCAAAATTCAGATAAACTTTACGAGAGAAGTTTCGTTCTATGATGTATTTTGCCTCCAGATCTCTGTTCGATTCGCCATTCTTGCTCGAATCTACGGAATCTTTTGCTGATTCGCAGTTTTGATTTATGGTGGAAGCAGAATTTCACCGTTTCGTGTCGTTCGGAGATGGATTTCTACGGAATAAAGAGAAAGAAACTGCAAAATCTGTGCAGGAAACACGGAATTCCTGCGAATTTGAAGAACAATGAGATGGCCGACAAGCTTACTTCCGCTTTTAAGGTAATCGTCTGATACATACTTGTCATTTTTTATGGATCTCTACGTTTTCCGTGGTACGAAAGTTGCAAATAGGGAGGAATAGCTAGCGTTCAGTTTCTGGACAGATTCAATGAGACCCAATCTAAATATATGAGGACATATATTCGTGCAATTTTTGTAGAATTCTGGTTTGTAATGCCTTCTAGGGAATTTGTGGGAATCTCTTGCTGCTTTGTTCTTTATTTGAGGGTGTTGCTTCATTTTATTGTCCGGAAACAATAGTAAGATTTGGTTTGCTTATTATATTATCTTTTTCATGTGCTAGGAAAAGGAAAATGAAAACGATGTTCTGGGGAAAGAATTATCGTCTGAGGATTCTCTCCACAAGGATTGTTGCATTGATGAGAATCTGGTTGTAAAGAAAGCAACTAAGAAAGTAAAATTCAGGTCTGAGAATGAAGTATTTGAATTTACTCGATCTGTCAAGAAACATCCACGGAGGAGTGACAGGCTTCGAGGTGAAAGTTACGCCCAAGATGTTCAAGATGCTGAAAAAGGTGTGAGGCGATCCAAGCAGAATGCAGCCAATGGGGTGTCAGGGGATGATGCATCAGAGCCTGTACAGGGCCTACAGGCTGAAAAAGCGTGTAGCAGGTCGAGTTGTGATGCGACACAAGGGCATAAGATTGTAAGGCGATTGAAACGTATTGCTTGCAGTCCTAGTGGGCAAGACGAGGCTGAACTTGTTATTGATAAGTTATACACAGATGGTCAGGGTCGAGTGACTGAACAACCGCATGTAAGGTCTTCCCAGTTAGCAGGTAAAGATCATGCAATCCGGTTGTCTCTTGGAATCAAAGTCAAGGAACTGCAAATGGAGGTCAATCCTCGGGATGATTCCAAGTTAGAAAAAACTCGGAGGCCGTCCACACGGATTTCTGCTGATGTTAAAGAACCAATTATGGAAGGTGAGACAAAAGAGGTTGAAACCCTCTTCTCGGCTAAGGATAGTAAAGGAGAAGGAAAGACTAGACGGTCAAAACGATTTGCAGCTAGCAACAAAGCAGAAGGTGAATACTCTGTCAAGAACAATGTGAAGGAGTTATTGGTGGATAACGAGGTTCTGAGAACTGCAATACAACCAAGAAAAAATATTCTGGATGGTTCTGAAGTTGAAAATGTTCCTAGGAGATCCAGACGACTCGGAGACAATGTTAATGCGCTGAGTGCAGTTCCAGAATCCAACAACAATGAGCTGATTCAGGTGGATGGGAAAAGTAGCAAACAGGGTGATGTGGAAGTAGAAAAGGCTCCTAGACGATCAAAGCGACTGGGACCCAATGATGGTTCACAAGGAGCTCGGAAAATTCATGTGAGTAATGCCCATACGGATGGTCAAACCGAAAAGAGAGAACAACCACCTAAAGATTACTCTGTTCACCCTTTTCAAGACAGAAAGCTCTTACGTCGATCAAAAAGTTTAGCGGTGGATAATAATGATGTGCAGGTTGGAGCCAATTTCAATAACAGTAACATGCTTGTGAAGGATCAGAATCAAATTACTGCGGAACAACACGGGAGATTTACTGATGATAGTCCTCAATTAGGAAAAGTTGTAAGGCGATTAAAAAAGCTCGCTGCTAGTGAGGATGAACAGATTGGAGACCTTGGAATAAATGTGGTTGGACAACAAATTGAAGATAAGAGTCAAGCAGAGAGTAAAAGAACCAGAAAGTGTACTCAGGTTGGTCTTGAAGCAGAGAATAATTTAAGGAGATCAATAAGATTTGCAGCTACATATGGTAAAGGAGCTGAAGGTTCTGTAGATGAGATGAAACATCCACAGACTAATAATGAGGACCAAGTGCCCATGAGACCCACTAGTATTTCTTCTAGACATAATTCCAAGAAAGCACGAATAGAGGTTGAAGAGAGTATGGCTGTAAAGAAAACAGATGAAGAGCTTGAATCTCTACCCAAACCACATGCAAAAGCTCCTAGGAAGATGAAGCGGGATATATCAGGAACGTCTAAGGTGAATGCAGAAGTTGTATCAAGTCAGAGCAGTGTGACACTGGAAGAACTTTCTGCTGTGTATGGTGACGTGGGGCCAGATGCTGCTTCAATTGGTAATGGTACAGAAATTAGTTGTACTAAACTGACTGCTAGAAGATCCTCCAAGAAGAGAAAGATAGCTGACCAAGAATGCACAATGGAGAAGCCACAAGAACTGATTGATGTCTCGCCCTCCCTCTCTGCAACTGAACCTACAAAACCTGTTATGGGTACCGAAAATATTTCGGACCCTCACTCAAAAAAGTCAGATTGTGCTTCAGAGGGAATGGATTCTCAGCAATTGAGTTCTGTACAAGGCCGTCGTATTCAGGACGAAAAGATCGACCACACTGAGACGACTTCATTGTTGCTTCGGTTTCCTGACAAAGACTTATTTGTTGGGGAAAATGATAACGATTCTGGTGTAAAGTCGGAAGTGAAAAAAGGCACAGCTAACAGCAAAACTGTTGTGAATCTACATGACGAAACTGGTGGACAGACTCAGACAACTTCAGTACAATTGGAAGAGATCGAACTAAAAGCTCAGGTAGTTGTGGATAGTGCACATGTCCTTCCTAAGGATAGTGCTTCAATGTGCCTGACCAAACGGGATACTATAACCAATATGGAAAATTTAGTTTCTGCTCTGGAATTTGACCTTAATGCAAGTAGTGGTGCAGCTAAAGAAATCACAGAAGCAGCACAAGGTATATTTTCCACCTCTCTCTCAATGGCTACTTGTTCGTTTGGTTTCATTGCTCTGTCTCTTTAGACTTTTGCATATTTATGATTAACTAACACTTTACAGATGTCAAGAAAGGATCACGGGAAAATAATTTGTCAGTTCAAATCGAAGTTGGTGAAATAGGTAAGTACTTCCGAAGATTCTTGTAAGCGTCCATTTTGTTGCGTGTGAAGTATCTGATTTTAGTCTTAGAAATCATACGACAGCAATTGAAACAATGGGGTTTTTTCCCTGAGATTATAGTGTCATTTTATCAGTAAAAATGTTCCAACCATTTTTTATCTTTCTACAGACAATAAAGGAGCAGAAGAACTCATTGAAAGAAACATTGAAGAAGACAAGCTGCCAGAACATGAGTGCTTGGTTATGGATCCTAAAACTTCAGAAACCATTGCAGTTACAGAGAAAGGATCGGTAGAAAATAATTTTTTGGATGGTGACTTTTCCGGCCACGTTGAAATTGGTGAAGACAGTTCCATGACCATGATTCATCCCTCGACTAACCACCACCAAGATTTGGGTAAGTCTTTTCTTTAAAAAGAAAAGGAAATCGGGATTCTTTTAACATATTCTAAATATATATGACAGAAACTGCGCCAACATTATTTTTTCTTCAATTTATTATGCCATTTTATCAGTTGAAGATCAAAATGTTCACAACTCTTTCTTAATGTTTAAATTGCAGAAAAATCTGGACCTTCTTCTTCTATCCACAGTCCGGATCTGATAACTGGTGATGAATCGGGTAATTTCGGTACCACATTCTTAGTTATGGCAAGCAGACTCAACCAAAAAATAAACATTAATCCATATCCAACCAATGTGCAGAAAATAAGAGCGCAGGTGAATTCATAGAAACATCAACCACTGAAGAAGAGGAGTCACCAGCGGAAACCTTAGACCAAAGTGAGGAGAAGTACAAAGATTATGAAACGAAAGTCATGTCGGATTCGGGGTTGGATTCCGAAGAACGTTCTGTAAGTACAAGTACGTTAAGTGGAGGTGAGAATGAGATAGAGAAATCTCTTGAAGGAGAAGCAACTGCTTTGCAGTCAGAGTCACATGGTAATCTCATTTTTTACATAGTTGCAAGCTCCATCTCTCTCTCTCTCTCTCTCTCTCTCTCTCTCTCTCTCTCTCTCTTGTAAAATACTTTAAAACATTTGCAGCAAATTTTAACGTCGATTGACTCTGAGATTGCAGATTCCTTTAACACCAGCAAAAGCATCTCTCAAGCTGAGCTCGCGGTTCAAAATGGCATTATCATTGATGAACAAGGTTAGATTTCGTGGACAACATGAGCATTTTCAAACAGTAACTTCCATAATGATATGAGCCTTGTTATCCACCAAAGCGGTCATTTCGATTTTTGGTTCAGATTCGATTTATTCGGATGCAGAAAAATTATACCATTCGGTTTTTATATTAGATTTTATTTTTTCATTGAATCCGATTTTTGTTGATAAAAATATTATTTTCTGAAGGAATTTTTGAATTTTTTTATTTTATATTCAGTTTTTATTGATTCATTTTTTTTATTTTAAAAAAAAATCGTAACCATTTGGACTTGGTTCTACGGTTACCAATGATTCGGTTTGGGAATATGTGAAAATCGTGTATTATATTCTTAATACAGTTCCAGGCGAGAAGCCACTCCAACGCAGAGTGACAGAGAAACGCCAGTCAGATCCAGTTCAGTCGAATTAATAGAAGATCAGAACAACAACATGGATGGCACAAACACACTGTCTGAAAGGGAGGTTCAGCTCAGTTGTTTAACCAAGGGAGGAGTAAACAGGAGGGAACAGAGCTTGATTCATGGTACACAAGTGAAACCCGACAGCTCCGACGGCAGCGTCGAAGAGACAAAAAAGATTCTCTCTTCTCTATTTTGTCTGATTGGCATATCTCATGCTCCTTTCATTTCAACTAAAACAAAAGTAGATGACCGACGATGCCCTCCGAGTCTCCACATGCAGACTCAGACGGGCTAGGGCCCATTTAGGGCCCAACAATAGCAGAAGGTATTTATTTCCAATGGGTTTTCAAATATTTAATTTAAATAAAGCTATATTTAATTTAATGTTGCCTATCTAAATTCAATACCCCACTAAGCCCTATAAGCGACTCATCAAGTATCCCCCACGTAAATTCCTTTAAAAATAGCCCTTTCACTTTTCTACCCACATGTAACAGTCACTAACTTCACCCATCTATATATGGATATAAATACCCCCCCCCCCAAACCTATTCACTCGATATCTCAACAATCACAACAGACAGCAATCCATCAATCATTCTATCTTTTACCTCTCCTACTAAAAGAAAATGGCACCAAAACCTTACCTTTCCATCACCCTCATCACCTTCATGCTCATCATGGCTTCCACGGCGACCGCCCGGCCAGTGGCGAAACGCGAGGACTCGCCCTCTACCACTGCCGAAAGCCTCGTGCACAGGCTCAAGCTGGACGAAGAGACGGGATACTGTTGGGACTCGTTGATTGAGCTTCAGCATTGCACTGGCGAGCTTATCATGTTCTTCCTCAACGGAGAGACCTACATCGGCCCTGGGTGCTGCCGCGCTATAAGGACTGTCGGGCAGAAATGCTGGCCGAATATGATGGGGGTTCTAGGGTTTAATCTATATATGGATATAAATCCCCCCCCCCCCAAACCTATTCACTCGATATCTCAACAATCACAACAGACAGCAATCCATCAATCATTCTATCTTTTACCTCTCCTACTAAAAGAAAATGGCACCAAAACCTTACCTTTCCATCACCCTCATCACCTTCATGCTCATCATGGCTTCCACGGCGACCGCCCGGCCAGTGGCGAAACGCGAGGACTCGCCCTCTACCACTGCCGAAAGCCTCGTGCACAGGCTCAAGCTGGACGAAGAGACGGGATACTGTTGGGACTCGTTGATTGAGCTTCAGCATTGCACTGGCGAGCTTATCATGTTCTTCCTCAACGGAGAGACCTACATCGGCCCTGGGTGCTGCCGCGCTATAAGGACTGTCGGGCAGAAATGCTGGCCGAATATGATGGGGGTTCTAGGGTTTACTGCCCAAGAAGGCGACATGCTTCAAGGTTACTGCGATGAGAATGACCACGATGATGATGATGGGAGCAATGATCATTCCCCTCCATCACCACCAACACTCCCATCCACGATTTTCAAGCCTACGAATGTTAGATCTTCTAACCCTTGAAAGGGAAATTATGCATGATATGTACGGTCTTATAATTATAAGAACTTCAGTCTACTGTAACTAGGAGGGAGGGATGCAGAGACATAAACCCTCTACGTTTTTCCTTATGAATAAAAGGTTCTTTGAACTCAGATATAACCAAGGCACATATATATATCTGTCCTATACTTTCCTTGGTAATCAACTTCAACAACAGTTTGGAAAAACTTTCTGATCCAACACAGAACACATACCGTTTGATTATAAGAATTGCTTTCATATGAACTTTGGTTGATAGTTCCATCCAGCTACTGCTTCACTTCCAATGAATTCTCAATTCGTTGGATGAGTTGTCTGGCAGTCAATGCACCCTCCTGACATTATCAAAAGGAACAAGAAAAGTTTGTTCCGTGAGATTAAGAAGACCAAATAACGGGTAATTATGATATTTGGAAGACAAGGACGGTACACATACAAAGCGATCACACGGTGTCCCGTCTTTGAATAGGATAAATGTAGGAAGTGCCTCTATCCTGTATTTGTTAGCAATACTGGGGTATTTTTCAGTATCGATCTTCACAACCTGGATCTTGTCTCCGAGAATTGTGCTCACTTCATTGAGTATCGGAACCATGAACAGGCAGGGTCCACACCTGCCACAAAACCATTCTGGTTCACTCGATTTCTGGATCTAAACTTCGATTTGTTCATCTGAAACTTGTCCAATCAATAGATATGCAAATCGGACGACACTATACACATCAAAAACATGAATTTACTAGTTTCCCAACTCCACTAATCATGTTCCCATTCATGATCAACATGAACCTGCTGGATTTACAAAAAATCATTGGTTTTCCGATTGGCTCACCAGGTAGCATAGAAGTCGACCAGAATTGGCTTTTCCGATTTCACCAGCAAATCCTCAAATGAGTCATATGTCTGCTTCTTCGCTTTGATCTGAACAATGAAACTCCACCATCGTTGATTCATCAATTAGCTCAAGCTATAAATCAATAAGGAGATAGAGAAGAGTAACCTTAAACCCATCCTAATTCCTAGAGGATCCAACAAGCAATCACTTAAAAATTTTCCACCAGAGTAAGATTCTCAACTGTGGTAATAATACCATTGGCACTCTACTTCGCTATCACGGGAAAATTTCAAGCAACACTTTGCACAACATGAAGATGACAATTCCCCGAAATCCCCGACGAAGTAATGCTTCGGAAAACAATGATACTCAACGAGATCAAACAGAAGTCCAGCGTCGACATATAGAACTACTCGAACACAAAAGTTAAAACCATGGATGCGATGGCGTAAGGAAGAGGTTGACGAAGGATATTTACGGCGAGAGGAGTACTTCGAGGCCTTGACGAAGAGTAGGAGATCCGCAAGTCCCCAGTTCGGATCCGAAGAACTTGAAGGGGAGAACCCGCGAGCAAGAAAGAACGCGAGTCCTTCGAATCGAACGCAGTAATCCTACACGGTTCCTGCGAATTCAGCAATGAAATGGCAGAAGCCGATGGAGAAATCGCCATCGACGAAACAAGAACGCTCTCCCGATTTGGCGAACGATGACGATAGTACGACACCGATCTCCACAGAGGAGAAGATCCACCGTACGTTGGACAACGACTGAGAATCTGATTGGGAGGAGAAAATTCTTGTTTGGTAGGCTAGAATCTGAAGGAAAGCGAGGGATTCCAGGCGAGTAAACAAAAAAGTGACAGACGAAAAAACCAGAGGAAGGTGGGATGATCGAGTGCGGTGGAGAGCACGATAAAGTGAATGCACTTGCGTGTTTGAGCTGCGATGACGAGTGAGTGATCAATCTTAACGGTCAATATTCAGTTGCGTAAGATCTTATTAAAAGATCTAAATAATAAGGATATCTTAATATGAAATACGTAAATACATAACTACTTTTTGTATTTAGAAAATTGTATTTATCATAATCCATTTTTTTTTTATAATTTTGGCATTTTTTTGTTAAATGTGAATTGTATAATTTTGCACATTTGAATGTGTAAACGGATGTGAATGGAAAACTTAAAAAAATATATGGTATCAAAACTATATGTGATATGTTTAACGAATTTTGAATTGCCTAATTTTTTTAATCTAGCAATTTAGGATGATTTTTACCAATTATTATTACGATGACTCATGGAGGAGATATGTCAAATGATTCTAAGAAAACTATATATTTTATTTATTTTTCCATCGTATATATCATTTGGAAATAGTTTATACATATCCATCATATTCGACCGACTATGAAAATTGGAGCTTTAATTCTATATTAATGCTTTTAGATTGTGAATAAGATCCTTATTTGGTCAATAACTTAATAAATGAATTGATCGAACTAAGAAATATATAACTGTAATCGAAATAAATTCGATAAAAAAACCGAATGGCTATGTTTTTTTATTTTTAAAAAAATTGAATTCAAAATCAAATCAAACGATTAAAAAATAACCGTATTTTTTTAAAAAATATAAATATTTTTTTCATAGTTGGATCGGATTTGAACCAAATATAATTGAACTAAACCGAATAGTTATAGTTTTTTTAAAACCGAAATAACCAAACCCGGATAAAATCCGGACCAAAATCATAATAAACTACCCCTAATAAGATTTATACCTTCGTTCGATCATATTTTTGCATGCATGCGAGACATTTATACGTAAGGTGGTGAACATGAATATTTCCAAATATTAAATAATATCCGGAAATTGCTTCGAATAACTTATTAGACGAACGAATCCAACATATTCAAATAGGTCATATCATATATTATTTTTTTTTATTTAACCGTTGCTTCAAATAAAAATTTTCCCACAAGGGTTAACAAAAAAAAAATCCCACAAGATTTATCGGGGTTTGGCCAAAGCCTGCGTTTCGTATTGTAGCAAATTGTCGTTTTGGGCTTTTAAACATTGAGAGCTACAAAACGTGGAAATAAGGCTGTGTGATATTCGCTCGTGCAAATTGTTTAATTTCGAATTTACTCATAATATTCTCGAAGGCTGCAAAACACAATATCTTTTTTTTTATATAAAAAATATCTAATTTATTATTCACTACCAAACACAAAATAGCAACAAAATCTAAAACTAAAATCATGTAAAGACAAATTTGTTGTCCCTTTTCCTTCATCTAATTGCTTTTGTTTTGTTCTTTTTTGGTTTTTAGTATTGTTTGGATGTGGGTTTGGTTTGGTTTGGTTTAATTTGTTATCTAATTGTTTTTTAAAAAATAAAATAATTGTTTTAAATATTTACAAATCATCTTAACGCTATTGATTGTATTAATTCAGATCATTGACATGATATATTTATGGTTTGAATTATATTTTATTTTAATTTCGTAAAAACCTTATATTTTGTAATTTACGGATTAAAATTTGATCTTTTTGGTTAAAATAATTTCTTTGGATAACTACATCTCATTGTATAAATTTTGACGGTTCTTACTATTTGCGATTAATTTATATTTAAATAAGAATCATACAATTATGGGTTAAATTTGATGGTTTGTTTAGCGTGAAAATGTTAAATTATATATTAATGTGCGATATAAAAATAATAAATACTTAATATTGATGTAACAATTGTTTTGATTGTGAACGTTATTCTATGTATAGTGTTGTCATCTAAGTTGGCATTAGCATAATAGTCTTGACAATGATTTGGTTTTAAAAATCTATTATATAATTATTTCATAACACTTTGAAAAATTCTATATGTAGTGCATATTTCAATATAATTAGATTATTTTATAATTATCTCTCCACGCTCATAAAGGTGTGTCCAAATAATAGAAGAAAAACAAATGGAACTTTCAGAATTTTCAATCGGTTAAATATATATAGAAAAGGTTAAGATAATATTAAATTCAAATGGAAAGTAGGGCTAATGATTTAAGAATAATAATCTCCATCATGATCACATTACATAAAATCATACTTTATTAGTTTTTGTAATTATTTTTGTTTTTACTTTTGAAAAAAGCATTTTACTTTTTTATGTTTGGCTCCTTTTACGTTTCTACTCACATATCAAATGATAACAAATTGAAAATTTATATAATCCCCCTATTCTTTTACCCAATATCGTGAGATTGGTTTCTATTGATTGATTAGATAACTTGATATAATATCGTTTTGGTGAAAATTTTATGGACTTTTGAGTAAAATATAAAATAAAACCACATGGAGATAAATTAATTATTGAAAAAAATATTTATGTGCAAAAGAAAATAATAAGTTATATTTCATGGATGAATTCACTTCACGGTATATACACGATTGTATATATTATATTTCTATCATCACAAATTTTAATCAATTTAGAGCCTCTTTATCCGAGTAATGTTGATACTTTTATTACTATAAATATATAACGTACATTTTTTAAGTATAAAATTTAGTTTGATTACTATTTTTCTAATTATTTTAGATTTGAAATTTTAACAATGCAAATATTTATTTTAAAATTTTAAAATAAATCAGATTTTTATTTTTATAATACATTCAAATTTATTTTAAATTCAATTAAAATTATTTGTTTATAAAGATATAGATATATAGTGATTATTTAGTTGTATCTATATATCTATATGTAAAGATCCAAGATTGTATCTAGATATAAAATTATATTATTTGGTTGAATTATGAGGTTATAATCTATATGTAATAACAATGGAATGGTCTATAGATCAGTAAATAATTAGCCGGAGAAACAGGGAGACAAAAAGCAAGAGTCAAAACACCAGAGACCAACCAACAAATTCATTACACATGAATCAAAGTCACATAGTTTGGTCTTTCTCCTAAAAAATACTAAAAAAAAATCATAAAATCATTGTTAATTTGAGTATAATTACCAAAGAAGACATGAATCATTGTTAATTTGAGTATAGGGTATTGAGTATAATATATTTTTTTATTTGATTTTTATTATATATATAGATACGGCTAAACAGTACACAATAGGAATATGATTTATTTAGTTAATAACCGAATAATTAAAATTCAAACCAAATAATAAATACCTTTAACTGAATCAAATTAGATATAAAATCGAATGATTATAATTTTTTAAAAATCGAAAAAATCCGTAATTTTTTTCAAAAAAATAATATTTATATCTAAACCCAATTGAATCCGAATCAAAATCGAATTTAAAATAGTAATTAAATAGTTATAATTTTTCTAAAATCAAAATAATCGAATTCGAATATAAACCCACAAAACTCGAACCGAAATACCAATAAGGCGCCTTAATATAAAACACACTTCACACTTCACACTTCACACTTCACACTTCACACTTCACACTTCACACTTAACACTTCACACATCAACACACACTTCTCAAAAAGCCTCTCTCCTGAGTGTCTCTGTCTGTCTTTGCCCTTCTCTTCTCTTCTCCCGAAGCTCTGCATAGGCACCAACCTCTCTTTTGACCTATAGAGAGAGAGAGAGAGAGAGAGAGAGAGAGAGAGAGAGAGAGAGATCTAAAGATAAAAAGCGTAGAGACATCATTTGAGGTTCTTTACCAGAAATCTCAAAATCTAAGCTCCTCTCCTTGAGCAAGTATGGTTTTGTTTGAGAAACGTATCTCTCTCTCCTCCTCCTTCCTCTTATTCTTCGTCTTCTCTCTCTTCCCTCGCCCTTCTCTCTCCTCCACGTTTCTCGTCGACGGCGTCTCTGTCTGGAAAAACCCTACTGCTCATGTCGGAGACTCCGTCGGTAAAACCCTTTTTTTAACTCATCTCTTTTGTATTCCATCTCTCCAAAGCTTTTCCGTCGGAATCAATGGCGGTTCTTCATGGATTTCTGTTTTCGTTTCTTAGTTTTCAGAAATAAGTTTGGGTACGGTCTCTACATCTTCAGGAGCAAAGATGCATTCAGTGTTTGCAATTTCAGTCGAGCCACCATTCTGACAAATCCCAACTCCACATCCTTCACGGTAATAACCATCTCATGAATCCACACGTTTTTTTTTGTGAATTAAATCGTCGTGAAAATGTGAATTTTTCTCGTGGGAAATTGCTTGGGGGATGCGTGTTTCATCTGGGTTTTCTTCGAATTGCAGAAAGTTTGCGTCTTTCATATCAAAACTTTTCCTTTCCGTTCTCGAGATTTACAAAAAAAGATCTGTTCTTCGTTTTCGTGCTCAAAAACCTGTTTTTTTTTTATAAAAATAAATAAATAAATATCACACTCTATATTAAATTATTAATACAGAAATTTACTTAAAATTCACTGTCTTTTGTTTTGTTTTGTGGGAAAATCCTTAAAGTCCTCATCTTTTCCAGAAATCTAAACTTGAAACCGACTGATGAATAATCTCTGTAACCATTTACATTCCATAATTCACATTATTCACACACATATATACATACATACATATATATATAACTATGTGAATAATTTCCGTATCTATTCACGTTCACACATATATATATATATATATATATATATATATATGATTTAAATTTCTCGGTGCAAGAACAGTGGCACCCATCAAGACCTGGCTTCTATTACTTCACCTTCGCCAACACCACCTCCGCCCTCAAAACTTGCCAACTCAGCCAAAAGCTCACCGTCCACGTCATCACCGCCGCCGCATCGCCACCTGCGACAGCCCCTGAGCCAGTCTCCGGCGGAGAGATCTCATCTTCGCCGTCGTATCCGTGGCCGTTGGGTCCACGTGAAGGCTCGTCGGCATACTCTCCGGGACCATCTCCGGCAGAAATCACGGCGGTGACGGTGCCTGAGAAAGGAGGCATGCCGTTCATCAACAGTAATCCGGCGGTTCCTCTCCCCACCGGCGAAGTTGACTCCGCCTCTGTCAACCCTTTCACCTCCTCGGCTAATGATGCACCACGTAATCAGGTACACTTAAACCGTGTTCGGTTTGATTTAAACCGGAATTTAATTAGCGCTTTGGTTTTCCGTTAACCGATCCGGGTCAATGATAAATCCGAAGATCTAGTTTGCATGCACTATCGTTTTGATGTTAAGCGAAGGCATTCGTACATATGTATGCATATACGTTCGAACTCGTGTATGTATAGTTTACCTCTGTTTTTTGTACATGTATTCTTATACATTCGTACGTAGATGCATACGTATACGAATGTGTGTATCGCTGTGTTAAAATTATCACAAAAACCCTAGTAAGGTTCATGTTTTTTTAACAGAAAAATATTTAATATATAGAAAACTTGGATTGTTTTTTGCTCATCAGTCTAAAACATTTTATTTTATTTTTGTAATAAGTTATTTATCTTAATAAATGGGGAATTTTTCAATGCATTAATCAAATTGTTCCACTAATAGATTCTATAATTTTGTAGGTGGTGCTAAGGATGGCCATGGTGACACTGCAGCTGGGTTGTCTGTTTCCATGTTTCTTCTTCTTCTGTAAAGATTGAAGAAGTAGAGTGGTTAATTAATTACTAATTAGTGATTAGATTAACTTTAATGGGGGAGTGATTACTCACATTTTAATATCCCATGTAATCATTCTCTCTTCCGTTTTTTTTTTGGGGGGGGGGGGTTCTGTCGCTTTTAGAATATTAGGGGTTTCTTTTTGAAGAAAATATTTTTCTTTCTTTTTGCTGTGCATTCCAATTGGTTTTTTTCCTGTGTGTGGTCCCCACAAAAATAGCATAATCGAGAGACATACCATAGAGTAAAAAGTAATAAGTGAAAGATAAAATAAAATCCCATTAAATATTATTTAATGAGAATGAAGTATTTAGTCCATTTTTTTTATATCATGACACCAAAAACTTCACTTGGTAGAAGATTTCTGAGTTCTAATATTTAATTTAAAAGATTTTGTTAGCCGAAAAATCCGAATACATATTATTTTCCAAATATTTGATTTACTTATTATATTTCTCGAAGGAAAAGAGAAATCGACATCACATAACATGATTAAAAAAAAACCCAAATTTCAACCACCAAAGCATCACATAATCGCTTGGTTATGTGTTCTAGATTATGTTTGGTAACCCACCAAACGTTCGATTAAATATTAACCCTAGCTTTACATTAAAAATTTCCATTAAATATTGGACCATATGCCATTTTCTATATGCAATTTCTCAAAGTATATGTTTTTAGTATTGTTTTGCATATAACGGAGACAATGAAACGAAACAGAACTTGTGGTTACAGACGGAAAAATAAAAGCAGATAAAGGCAGCCGTTACTTCCCGCCAAGGCAAACCGTTAAAAAGAGCAGCCGACCGTTGACAGTTGCATTCATGTTCAAGGAACAAGCAACAAGCAAGGAATATATACTTGTGGTCATGTTCAAAGGGAATAACTTATGATCTGCAAAAAAAAAAACGTCAAAACGATCGCAGAAGAACAAAAAATTTGGAGTCAGATTTGGGACAGAAGATGGCCAAAACAAGGGATGGTGTCTCCTCTTCTACCGATTTTCGGATTTCGAAAGACCCTTTTACCCCTCTTTCGCTCTCTCGGGAAGCCAATTTCGTGTTCATCCTCGTCATTCATCTCAGAGGTCGATTTCCTCTTTAATCATCTTTAATCTTCCTTCTATGCTTAAAAGGTTTCATTTTGGTGAATGACTGCAAAAGTAAATTAAGGGCATAAAGCTAGATCCTTTTATGATGAATGAGGATCGAATATTGAAAATGATTGCAGGATTTAGAAAGGAGGGTATCGATATCGAGATAAACAAAGACGGGAATCGGATTAAGATAAGCGGGAAAAAGCATGTAGAGGAGATGGTTATGACAAAGTGGATGGCAATGAGGAAGGAGGAGGGGATAAAGGAGTTCAAGAAAGTGTTTCGGATACCGGAGATCGTCGTTTTGGATAAGATCAAAGCGAGATTCAACAACGAAGAGGGGACCTTAAAGATCACATTGCCCAAAAAGGTAAAGGGTATTACCGGACTGAAGATCGAAGAAGAGATTGAAGAAGAGAAAGCCGAAGAACCTCGAGAAGAGATGGAGGAAGAAACACAAGAAAAGAAAGAGCCTGAAGCAGTGATACAACCACAAGAAGAAAGCATAGAGGAGAAAGAAGAAGAAGAACCCGAGAGAGAAGAGATCGAAGAAATGGAAGAAGAGGAAGAAGATGAGAAAGTAGAAGAAGAAGAAGAGAAATTAGAGAAAGAAGATGAAGGGAATGGTGAAAGAAAGAGGAGGAGGAGGAGAAGGAAGAGATGCTGTTTACCATTTCTTGCTGGATCGTCCTTGTTAATGTCAATTATCTTTTTCATTATCCATTTAATTGAGTCCAAGCCCAAGAGAAAATGAGTTTGTGTGTGGGTTCTTATGGTTTTGAATTTTTTTTAATGTTTTTTTCAGATATATAAATGACAATAATATCATATGAGAAAAAAAAAATTGGATTAAGAATGATTATGGGATCCGCTAATTACTAATTAGATATAATGAGGTTTTTAGCTAACATTTGATTTCTTGTAATAATGCGAACGTAATAAGGTGTTGCGTAGGACGTGCCGCACCTGATAATTTCTCCAATCTCTCCGCGTGTTTTGATTTTTCTTTTTTTTTCAATAATAATTTATAAAAAAAAGAAAAAATGAACTGAAAATTCTAATTAATCAGACGAATTAAAAAAAAAAAAGGCTCCTCAGATCTCTGCAAAAATCTCAAAAGGAAGACGGCGATAGGATCATCTGATCGGCGAAAACATGTCGAGCGATAGCGACGATCTCGACGAAGATGAGCTCCTTCAAATGGCGTTGAAGGAGCAAACTCAGCGAGATCTCACCTACCAGAAGCCTCCTTCCGGCTCTTCCCGCAAGCCCGTCGCTAATTTCGTCCAGCAGCCGCGGCAGCAGAAGCCTCCCCCTCCGAAGAAATCCGCCGGAGGTGCGGCGGCTAGGAAGCCATCCATGGACGAGGACGATGAATCGGAGGTGGAGCTGCTCAGCATTTCGAGCGGTGACGAGGATATGGGGAGGGATCGGGAAAGAGGCGGCGGCGGCGGAGGAGGAGGAGGCGGCGGAGGAGGAAGAGGAAGAGATGGCGTCGGAGAGAGAGGAAGACCGGTGAAGGATGATGATGGAGCTTGGGATGGAGAGGAACCCGATCGCTGGAAACGAGTAGATGAAGCTGACGTACGTGTCTAATGCGTTTGAATTTAGGTGGTCTTGGCTTAGATTTGTGTAAGATCGTGCGTGGGGTGTGTGCTTGGTCGATCGAGTCTTTGAGAGTTTGAATTCGTTCAAGTGTTCATTTGAGATCCAGAAAAGAGTTTGTAGACGTAATTGGAGCTGTACTATCTTGTTAGAAGGCCATTAGTACTTGTTAGAAGCTTTACGTGGTGTTAATTTAGCTGTAGCTGGGAAAAGAGTTGCATTTCACTTGAATCCTGATGACATTTGACAGCTTGCCCGTAGGGTTCGTGATATGCGGGAATCGAGAACAGCACCCGTGGCTCAGAAGTTTGAGCGCAATGTATCTGCAGCTGGCAAGAAAGTGGCTCTCACTAGTTTGCAGTCTTTACCCCGTGGCATGGAATGTATCGATCCACTAAAATTAGGGTAAATTTGCTCATTCATTTTGCTCGCCTCGAATGCTGATCCCATGCTTTGCTCTGTGTCTTAGAATCTGATGTGGTATAGCTAGTCTAAATTCGAATTTATGTTTTGTCCTGCAGGATAATAGACAATAAGACTCTGAGATTGATCACCGAGTCATCAGAAAGCAGCCCTTCAAAAGCCGAGAAAGTGGATGGTGCACTTCGTGGTACATAATTCTCTATGACACACCTCTTACAGGAAAGCTAGTATTTCTGGAGGTCCTTATTCTGCTTATGATTTTTACTGTCCTCATTTATTGCTTCTAACTATGTGCAGAAAAATTGATGTACTTCTCTGATGTTTTCGACCCCAAGTTGTTTCTTTCTCGCATTCACCAACGCACAGCTGCAGCAGACTTAGAGGCTGGTGCCCTTGCGCTGAAAAATGACTTAAAGGGCCGGAATCTGCAAAGGAAACAGTTGGTAAAAGACAACTTCGACTGTTTTGTCTCCTGTAAAACCACAATTGATGGTAAGTATTACTGCACTCAGTTTGCTGGTTGATTGTTTTTTATCATCTTTCATATTGATGTGAAGGGTTGCTGATTTTCATGATAGATATTGAGTCAAAACTAAAACGAATTGAAGACGACCCAGAAGGATCTGGAACTATTCATTTGTACAATTGTATGCAAAGTGTGATATCACGGGCCAATCGAGCTTTTGAGCCTCTTTTTGAGAGACAGGTTGGTAGGGTCTTTCTTTCTTTCTTTTTTCTCTTCTTCATGGTAGTCTTTGGCCATCTGCTTAGCCCTTTTTTTTATGCACATTCTTAGGCTCAAGCTGAGAAAATCAGATCTGTACAAGGAATGCTTCAGAGATTCCGAACACTCTTCAATTTGCCCAGTATCATTCGTAGCAGTATCAGCAAGGGAGAATATGACTTGGCTGTCCGTGAATACAAGAAAGCGAAGTCTATTGCTCTCCCCTCTCATGTATGCTGGTGTTATTGAGGACATGACATTCTCTTGAGAAAATAGATGACCAATTTTCCTCCTCCAACGCATGAGTCCTCTCTGTTCGAATCTGAACTTTCATGAACAAAGCTCTTTATTTCTTTCAGGTAAATATACTCAAACGCGTACTTGAGGAGATTGAGAAAGTGATGCACGAGTTTAAAGGCACACTTTACAAGTCTATGGAAGATCCAAAAATAGATCTGACGAGTGTAAGTCTATTAATATCCATTTGGTTCTAGCATCAACAAGTGCATGAACTAACCATTCTTTCCTTTAAAAAGGTTAAGGTGCCCCAAGGCTTCGGTTATAATGTTGTTTTCACGTTGATGATTTCAACCTCTTGTGCATCGTCTCTCCAGTCATTAGTTTTAAATTTGTCCTTATGGTAACATTTTGCCTTGTCCCAATTGATGGATAAGAAACTTGCTACATGGAACGAACTAACACAATTCTTGTTCTTGATGATAAATCCATTTGCTCTATTTGGTGCATGTTGATTCATTATATTACCCAAGTTTATGATAATTTTGTATTTACAATACTTCCCTATGGAAACTTTGATCCATTGGTTTTGATATGCCAATTAATCTCATAATTCTTCCCCGTCCATCCCCCTCTGTCCTGAGAGTATAACCTGTTTGTTTGATACAGCTGGAAAATACGGTGAGGCTTTTGCTGGAGCTAGAACCTGAATCAGATCCCGTATGGCATTATTTGAATGTGCAGGTTAGTATTTAGTATACCCATAAATGCTGCACTCTTCACTAACTTGTGCTGTGTTTTCTGCTGCATGGGGTCTAGGTTCCCTGCAGTTTGGTTTTGAGTATGAGATAGCAAAATATTAGCTTGTGCAGTTATCCATTTTTTACCTTGAGTATAAGTTGTATTCATTCTCTCTTTAATTGAGCTAATCTTGTTTGGTTCTCTCCTTTTCTTTTTATCAGAATCATAGAATCCATGGCTTGCTTGAGAAATGTACTTTTGATCATGAAGAACGGATGGAAATTTTGCGCAATGAGATGCAAGAGAGGGCTCTCTCCGATGCGAAATGGCAGCAAATTCAACAAAATACTGTTCAATCTGTGAGTTCAACAGTGAGGAGAATAGCGATATTATGAAAGATTGACTAAGATTGGGCTCTATGAATGATAACCTTTGTTCTTTCTTCAAATTTTCAGTCAGATGCTGTCTCTTCTATTGGTAATAACCAAGTTCAAGTAGATTTACAGTCAGTAGACTTAATAGGCGAGGAGTCTGATGCTTTGAGGGGAAGATACATTAAAAGATTAACTGCTGTGCTTGTACACCACATCCCGGCTTTCTGGAAAATAGCTCTTTCTGTTTTCAGTGGGAAGTTTGCCAAGGTTCCACCCCTCCTTTCTAAGCAGACTCCTATGTATTTGTTCATGTACTGCTCTGCAGTATATTATTTCTATAATAGTGATTCTGTATGCCTATGCTGGTACCTTTTTTTTAATTTGTTTCTATAATTGGTGGTCATTCTTCCATTTTTATTTCTGTTCTTTTCATTCCAGTCTTCCCAAGTGTCTGATACTTCAGCCACTAAAGCTGAGGAGAAAGTTGCAGAGTCAAGGTATTCGACTCATTCTCTGGAAGAAGTTGCCGGGATGATACGCAAGACCATATCTGTGTATGAAGCAAAGGTAATTCTTGTGTATTTCTTTTTCTACCAACTGACTTGTGATTGGAGCACTTATTCTCCAAACTGGAGACATAGATCGTGTGTTGTGGTATCACTTCCATTTACTGATCATTCTAAATACGCCGTCTTCCTGATTTCTACTGCTGCAGGTGAACATAACATTTCGTGAGTTTGACGAATCATACATTCTTCGCCCGTATATGAGTGACACCATCAAAGAAGTATCAAAAGCATGCCAAGATTTTGAAGCCAAAGAATCAGCGCCTCATAGTGCAGGTAATTGAATTTGTTTTGAGATTTTTTTTTTCTGGTTTCATAGTAGCATCTTGATGTGCATGTATATGCTTTTTGTATCTGGCAGTCATGGCACTGAAAAAGGTCCAGGCGGAAATCACTAAGATTTACATACAAAGACTTTGCTCTTGGATGAGGGCATCAACAGAAGGAATAGCGAAGGAGGAGCCATGGATCCCAGTATCGATTCTTGAAAGGAACAAATCTCCATATACCATCTCTTACTTGCCTCTTGCATTCCGATCAATTATCATCTCTGGGATGGAACAAATTAATCAGTAAGTTTCTTGTGCTTTTTTAGTCACTCTTTAATACTGGTAAACTTTCAGAAAAGAGGAAAATCTACAGTTTTTATATTTTTGGAACTTGGGACTAGTTAGATGGACACAGCTTGCTTTACTGTGTTCGTAGCATAGAGTTCAAGACATCTGCATTCCAGCCATCTGGTATTTCGAGTTATTATGCTTTATTTCTTCAAATTAGAATATCAAACTCTGGCTGCCTATGCCATCATAGCCAAATATCACAACGATGATTCATTGGTAACTACATTGCGAGAGAAAGTATGGTCTATGTCGTGGCAGGTGGAAGAGGACTATTTGCATACCGTGTAATAATGCCTCATTATATGGACTGTGAATGCTTCTCAGTGATTATCAGAGAACGGATTGAATATGCCATTGTGTGCTTCACATACATTTTTGTTCTTCTGATCACACCATCAAAGTTTCCTGTTAATATTTGGATATTCCTTTTCCAGGATGATCCTGTCTTTGAAAGGTGAAGCTGCTAAGTCAGAGGATATGTTTGCCCAGATCGAGGAAATCCTGATGTCAGTTAGGCTCGCCTTTTTTAACTGCTTTCTAGATTTTGCTGGTAAGAATTTAGAGCCGTATGCCCTTGATAAAATACATATACAGATGCATACACGCAAAAACATTCACTTCTACAAGTTGACGCATACAATTACATACTGATAAGTTGGCATACTTTTTTGTTTCCGCATATTTCAGCTCACTTGGAGCAAATCGGTGCTGATCTTGCTCAAAGTACCTCAAGAAGAGAGAATTGGCAAAATGGATTTTCCGGTGATTATAATGAAGATCCATCAGCCAATTCCCCCGAAGGTGTTGCTGATCCTCACAGGCAGTTGTTGATGGTCTTAAGTAATATCGGTTATTGCAAGGATGAACTTGCTCCTGAGCTCTACAACAAGTTCAAGCGTACCTGGTTGCAGTTTAGGTAGGTCCACTCTTAGTTGACTTTTTTTCTGATCATTTAAAAGCATCTGCCATTACATTAGGCAGGTTGGTCCGACTCAGTTACGCTTATAGTTCAAAATATTTTGTTTCATATCTTGACTTTTTCAGAGAAAAAGATGAAGATGGCAGTGATCTTCAAGATCTAGTAATGGCTTTCTCTGGTCTTGGAGAGAAGGTCCTCGAGCATTACACAATTGCTAAGGTATCATCTTTCTGCCATGCTCATTTTTGGGTTTTTCTGTAGCTTCATGTTAGAAATAGATGCATTCTTCTGACAAGGGAAAACAGAAATGTCGCTAGCAAATTTGTAATGTCGAGTAGAGAGGCTCTCCATCCATTGTAAATTCTTTGAATATATTAACCCGGCGAAGAAAATAGCATAGCCAATGAAGGTGTGAACCTGTATGTCTTCAAGCCATATGCAAAACCGAAATATTAGGTTTCTATTGAAAAAATGAAATATGCTCAGCCTTCTTTATTTTCTCTCTCCTCCTCCCCCTTATTTTCCTCCAACTGCAGCTCAGGGGCATGGGGGTGGGATATTTTGTTCTCACCAGTGTTAGTTTTTTGATCATTTGCATTTCGAAATGAACAATATGTTTTCTTAACTTCTGATTTCGTAACGATTTTACTTGTGACCAGGCAAATATGATCAGAACAGCTGCTATGAATTATTTGTTGGACTCCGGTATTCAGTGGGGAGCGACGCCTCTAGTGAAAGTAAGGAAGTAGCAAATAAAATCCACAGATTTCTACTCTTAGCTTCTGGCTTATGACCGTTTCTTCCTCTCTTATTCTAAAAAAAAAAAAAAAAGATGTCGAGTATTAGCTTTCACCCTCTTGTGTGCTCCTTCGCTTTCTCTGAAAGAAAGATACTGAATATTAGATTCTCATTTTTCAGGGCATACGAGATGCTGCAGTCGAGCTGTTGCACACTCTGGTGGCTGTCCATGCAGAGGTAGACACACATGTTTCCTTTTTACGTTTATTCACGACTTTCTATAAGCATTTATATATAATAGCACATGAGTTTTTTTTTCTGAATGCACAACCCGTTCGTTATTTTACCCAAAATCTATAATCGCAGGTCTTTGGGGGTGCCAAACCCCTCTTGGACAAGATTCTCGGGATTTTGGTGGAAGGGCTAATCGATACTTTTCTCAGCCTTCTCGAAGAAAACAAATCGAATGAGCTGAGATCACTCGATGCAAACGGTTTCTGCCAACTGATGCTCGAGGTAATAAAACGTTTCGTCTTTCCGGTGAAGAGATACTTAAGAATTCATTCAGTCACCAAGTACCTACCCGACGAGGAAATCGAGTTTCTCAGTATGATGCTGATCTAATTTGACAATTGGCTGCAGCTCGAGTATTTCGAGACGATACTGAATCCGTATTTCACGGCGGATGCAACCGAGTCACTGAAATCTCTGCAAGGAGCTCTGTTGGAGAAAGCTATAGAGAGCATCAGCGAGGCGGTCGAGAACCCTCCTGGACATCACCGGAGACCAACTCGCGGGAGCGAGGATGCAATTTCAGACGACAAACAACAAGGATCATCTGTGTCCCCGGATGACCTCCTCGTAAGATCTCTTCTCTCTTCCCAATCTAAAGATTTTTTTCCTCGTAAAAAATAAAAAATTCTTTATTTTTGAGTCATAATAAAAATATTTAGAAGATTTATACATCTACTAAGAACAATATATATAGGACTGTAAAACGAGCCGTGATTCGTAAACTGGTTCAAATCCAACTCGTTCTTAGGCAAACTGATTTAAGGTTTTCTTTTTATCTCGTTTAAAAACAAGCTCGTTTTTTTGGCTCGGAACCAACCCGTTTTTAACTCAACGAAATAAAAAAAAAAACTTGCACCAGTTCGTATAAAAATGGGTTGCATTGGTCGGGGCTCAAAATCAGCAGAGGTCGTGGTGGTTTGACCAGGGCCGAACAGAGCCAGCTTACGGGCTATAATGGTGTTTTGGCTTTACAAATACATGATACTAAAACATAATATTTGTTCTTATTGGAATCGGTAGATTATGACTTACACTTGAAAACTAGGTTCGAGCTAAAAAAATCTCGTCGTTTTTTCGTGATGCCTCACAGGCTCTAGCGCAGCAATGCACGAGCGAGATGCTCCAGTCAGAACTAGAGAGGACTCGGATCAACTCGGCATGTTTCGTGGAACCAATCCCGTTAGAGCCGCCGCTCGAAACGGTGGCTAAAGCAGCATACTCTTCGTTCAGAGGATCAATGGATTCTTCTCCGAGCAGAAACTACAGAGGCACCACCACACAGACGGTGGGGTCTCCGGTTTATTCACGACCTCGACGAAGATAAGTTTCGTTTTGATCCTTACAACATCTCAAGACACAACATCTTTTTATTTGTCTTTGTGACCTCTTCTTTTTTTTCTTTTTCACTTTGCTTGTCTTTGCCCTCCTTTGTGGTTAAATGTTTTATTTTTAATTTTGTTAATATTTTTTTTTATCGTCGATACATTATGTCTAGTATTTCGTCTTTGGGTGAGTTTTTTGTTGTTTTGTTTTCTTGTTACATCTTTTGTAATGGCTACGTATTTCGTCGCTATATCATGTATCGACCATTTTTTTTGTTCTATAAAACATGATTTTTTTTTTTATGATTTGATATATAGAGAGAGGGGGGTCGAGGTCGGATGCGTGTTTGGTCATGTACTAGTCGGTCTCAACCTCAACGTGGTGGGATCATGAGTTGCGGTAAAGGCTCGGATACTCGAACGAGTGCAAAATGCGAGCCGAGGAAAGCGAGACGAGGGGAGCATCACCTCTTGAAACTTTTGATTTTGAGTCATAAATTCCTCATCGCTTGGCGACGGTGGCACTACCGTCGTGGCATCGCCTCGTGGTTTCCTCCGCATCTCGGATTAAACTATCCGATAATCTCTGGAACCGAACTCGAACCCGATGGTAAAATTCTCACGGACAAAGAGCCGGTACTCCATCTCAGGTCGACCAAATATTCAAAATTCGGATACCCAAATCAAACCCTACTAATTCAGTGACACCATTTCCAGCATATGCTTTATCTACAAAAAGGTGTTTAATTTGGGAAACTAAAGCTAATATCAAAGCAGATTAAAACAAGGGTAGAACTTCTCTCCCAAATCTTTGTCAGAGTTTACAACATAAAAACCAAAGAGTTCTAAATCCATAACCATTAGGCTCAACCATAACCGAATTCAATATAAAAATCGAATGGTTATAACCTTTTAAAACTGAAATAACCAAATCGATACCCGAAATGGCCACCCCTAACCACAAGGCTCGAAGCCATTATCCCACAATAACAGCTCTGTATTTCTTCGAAGACAGCCTTTTATGCTTTTTCTGAGTCAGAGATTACACAGTTCAGGCCGTCCTCAGTGGCGGAGACACCAATATCACTCCGTCACCTCTGACAAAAAGAAACGGTAGTGTCCGCTTTGTCGTCTGCTCGAATGCAAAAAAACCAAAAAACAATCAAGAATCGTGTCATCACCATGCATACCACAGCCTTGAAACCTACTCAAATACACAATACAATGGCTGAAACATCGAGAAAAAAGGTTTGCTTATCCATGAACTGCCAAGAGATACACCTTATAACCGATCTCACTAACGAAATTGTATTCTCGTAAAAGGGACACATAACTAGAAACAAGCAGGGTAAGCTAGGCAATTCTTACTAACCGAACTTATCATTCGAACTGCCACACTAAAACACACTCTTCTCGGATAACCACTTTGTCCACAAGATACACTCATCAAGCTGAAAACTTTTACAAGATTCACTCTACACGTTAACCGAAACTTCAAGGAGAACGATACCCTTTTACGGATTCCTTCGAATTATCCTATATCCTACCAAGTACATTATCTGTGAAGGTTAACAACAGTGAAGAGATTGCAACTTTTCTTCCTAAAATCAGGTTGAAATATAACAGTTCGAGGTCAAAGAAACAGGATGAGCAGAGAGAGTTGCATACCCGGACAATCTCTTCGTATGTCTCATCATCAATCTCTACAGTGGTGACAACTTCCTCAACATCACCAAGAATCATGTTCAAATGCTGATCATATGCCTGCAAATTCAGTAAACCCAATAAGCAGCTTCGAATCACGATTCAGTAAAAACCCAATCGAAATGAAGGAAATCCGATACCCAAAGAAAAACCCCTGGAGTTATCCGGAAAAAAGGTCAAAAAATTTGACACCACCCACTTAAAAAACAGGAAAATTAGCTAACACCCGCCAAAAAATTACACAGAACAGAAGCGAAGCATGACCAAAAAAAAAGAAGAAGAAGCAAACCCTAGATCGACACTGAATCGAAAATAGGAAGAAATCGATGGGAGAAACCGAAAACGTACGTGAAGTTTACCGCGGAGTTCGCGATCAGAGCGAAGCTTGACGTATATCCTCTCGTCAAGGCTAAGCCGAATCAGATCCAACGGCTCCTTCACAGCGCTTTCTTCCTCGGCGGACATTGTCGGAACACTTTCCCCTGAAAATTTTTCTCCGAGGGTTTTTGGGAGTACGGACGGAAGAATACTTAAAAAGCAATTGGGAACATTTGAAAGAGATCTTCCCATAAAATTCAAAACCCCATGATTTATCTATTGGGCTTTCACTAAAGTTTCGGGCTTTACAATATCCACTGGGCCTATATTGAAGCCCAATCTGTTTTGGGCCTCACATATATTCTATATATAAAATTCTACACTTTGCTTATGAAATATTTTTTTTTTAACTTTAGAAAAATAATAACAAATATTAAATCATGTTACATCAATTGAGAACAATAAATTATTCCTTGAAAATTGTATGAGTTTGTAATAATCCATTGTTTGAACACACCTCGTCACTTTTTGTTCAGGTTTATATATATAAAGGCAAAATCTTTACCAAAAAAATAAATAAAACTCTTATGTTTAAGTTTAACAGGGAAAAGAATATACATTGATTTATGCCAGTAAAAATATTTACATATATGTTTGCATTCATATTTATATCATAAACATGAAAAAAAAATTATGAATGTTATTTATGATTTTTTGGATATCCAATATAGAATAATAGATTAACTCTATAACAGTTCAAACATATAAAATTGCACCAACTAGAATGATACATAATTCTATAACTGCAAGAGATAACCATGATTAAAATCGATTGGATATAATTTTGTAAAATCAAATCATTTATATTTAAATCGAATCTAATGATTTGTAAAAATAAATTAAATTTGAATGATAACTATTTTTTAGAAAAATAAATATTTTTTATGTTACTAATAAAAGGAAAATTAATATTTTTTAATAAAATCCAAAATTGATATAAAAATACATATATAATTTTAAAAACAAAAAATTTATTGAGAAGTGACAATTTCTATCTGAAATATTGATAGTAACTGCCTACTAATCCATGGTCCAATGATTTGGACATTGAGGAGCCAATAAAAAAATGTCACTAATACGACAAATTCAAACAATTTAAGATTTTGTAATTTTGTTCATTTATATTTTGTTTGTTTTTTTTTAATCTCAACTTGTTTGAAAATGTTAGTGTCTATCGCCACTATCATTCCTTGATTCATTGGATGTGAGCAATAATTCTTTTTTCCTTTTTAACGTATTTTAAATATAAGGTACAAAATTTTATAGAAATAAATGCCTAAAAAACTTAGATATATACGAAGTTTGATCTTCCAAAAGTTACAAAATATTAACTTTGAGCATGAAAGTAAACAAGTCTAAGCAAATTTTATTTGTTTGATTTGTGTTAATACAAATAATATATGATAAAATAGATTTAGACTTCTTTACAATTTTTAATAGGAGTTGAGTAAAAATAATAATTGGAATATATATTAAAAAACTAGTAAATAATAAGTAAAAAAGTATTACATTAAAAATTTGAAAACATTACAAAAAAAGTATACCTTAGTTGGAAAATTAGCATTTAGTTTGTTGTCTCTTAATATATTAAACTAAAAATGGAGAATATACCAAGTTCCAATCCATACTATTTTTCTATTCCAATATGACAATTAAATAATCCCTGATTTCGTATTCAATGATGTAAGATTGTGTACCAATTTTTCTGGAGAGATGCTTCATACAAAAAAAAAAATTCCTAATAAAATGTAATCAGTACATATCACAATCCAACATTTGCGGGTTAAAAATTTTCGAAACTTTACATTTGGTATTTTTTTTTTTAAATTACAAGATTTGGAAAAATTAAATTTATAGAATGTATAAAATATTAATTAAGTAATTATCAAATTAAAGTGGTGGGTCCATGTTTTTTTTGATACATTGGACCTGATTAGCTATTTTTTTAATTATTATTATTATTATTATTATCATTTTCCCTTAAGATTAATCTCCGCCCAAACTCTCATCAAAACCCATATGGGTGAAAAAAATAAACAAAGGGTTCTTCGTTGAAACTCATTTTCGCCACACGCCTTCCTTTTTTTTTTTTCTTTTTTTTTTCGCTTCTTCATCCGATGATGAAGTTTCTGTGATCTCGAGCTCGATGTTCTTGGCTTCAATCGCTTGAACGTCCGTTTAGCATCCCTGGGCTCTTGGAGAAATCTCCATTTCCGTCAAAGATAAGTTGCTCTCTGCCTCTGCGTTCGGTGATTTCGTCTTCGGTGAATGATTGTGGAAGTTTAGGGTTCTCCTTTTTATTTGAATCATTACGCGATTTCGGAACTGGGTTTCTTTGCCTGCGTTTGATTCCTGTGTTTTCCCAAGTGAGCTTCATCTCTAGACCTGGAATCTCGGATAGACGAATGCTTGTCTTGTCCGATGTGGTGAAGTGTGCTCAGAAGTTCGGAGGGTTTAGGCATGAGTGAGAATCTGCAGAGTTATAGGAGTTTCTGGTTCTGATTTTGTCGATTAGGGCCAAAGCTTAGGGTTTTTGAGAAGAAAGCATTTTGCAGTTGGTTTTTGCTTGATCTAGGTTTCTTTGAGATTGAAGAGAATGGAAGGAAATTTCTCGCAAGGAGGTATGATTCCTGGTGGGCCTCCTTATGGTGGATTCGATTTGCAGAGTTCTATGAGAGTTCATCATCCAAACACTATGCATCATCATCAAAACCCTCGGCCCGATTCCTCTGTTCGTCCTTCTCTTCACGAGGGTCTTCCCTTTACAATGTTTACGGGCAAGACATGTGACCAGAACGTGTCCATGGCCGAATACAACAAAGGCGAAAGGGGTAAATGCTCGATGAGCGATGAGGATGAACCGAGTTTAACCGAGGAGGGAGGTGATGGGCATAATGAGGGGAGCAAAGCCAAGAAGGGTTCTCCATGGCAGCGTGTGAAGTGGACAGACAAGATGGTGAAGCTACTGATAACTGCTGTGTCTTATATAGGCGAGGATTCTGCCATGGATTGCGGGACTAGAAGGAAATTCGCCGTTTTGCAGAAAAAGGGTAAGTGGAAATCGGTTTCCAAAGCCATGGCAGAAAGGGGTTATCATGTTTCTCCCCAGCAATGCGAGGATAAATTCAATGACCTGAATAAGCGGTATAAGAAGCTCAACGATATGCTTGGCCGAGGAACCTCTTGTCAGGTTGTCGAGAATCCTGCACTCTTGGACGTCATTGATTACTTGAACGAGAAAGAAAAGGACGACATTAGAAAGATTCTGAGCTCAAAGCAGCTTTTCTACGAAGAGATGTGCTCTTACCACAACGGAAACAGACTGCATTTGCCTCACGACCATGCATTGCAACGTTCTCTTCAGTTAGCTCTCAGAAGCCGAGATGATCATGACAATGATGATGCAAGGAAACACACCAATGAAGATCTGGATGACGAGGATCATGATATGGAAACCGACAATCACGTTGATTGCGAGGAGCATCATCATTCCTTCCATGGAGATGGCAGGGGAATGCATCATCCAGCCCTAGGTGTGCCCTTGAAGAGATTAAGACAAGGTCATAACCTTGGAGATGTCTGTTGTCCGAATCCGCAGA